GGAAAGTCTTGTTAAAATAGTGTCATTTAATTATGTATTAAATCTTGATAATATCCCAAGGTCCTTTACTCTTGGGATATAATTCCAACACAATGAAAACTTTTGTGTTTGTCAGTCTTCAACTGATATCATCTACTTATTAATTTAAACATGCATATAAGTACATTAAAAAAATTAGGATGCAATACTTATTTCACTTAAAAGTAGTATAAAATACTGAGTGAGATGTCAAACCCAATTCAGAATTGGCCTGTTCATACTGAACATCTAAATGATCATATTTCAATAAACTAAAAGGGCCAGCTTTACACAAACAAAACAAAAACTCCACCATGTTTTATACACTAAAACACAGGATGAATAATAAAAATATTTTAAGCTCTAAAATCTTCAATCAGTACTTTAAGGTAGTTTAAATACTTTTAATTAATTAAACTACAATGTAAGAACTTCAAATCTGAATTTAAATTTCTGTAAATAATTATTGGGTAGGAAAAAACATATTCATGTTTTATGTAATCTCTTTAAATAATAATAGAATTCTCTGAAATTAAAGTTGTGACCTAACATAAATAATGTGAACTGTATAATGGAACAATTTCAAAATAACACAAAAGTAATTGTTTTTTTTTTGTGGGTATTTCATATTTTCACTGCAGAAGAGTCAGATCTTTGAATTTTAAAAAGATTTTTGCCTAACAGTGAACATTTAAGGCCAACTCTAACATTAAACAAGTTAAACTATCGAGTTAATTATTTCCTAAGTCATTCAAAATTTGACATGCTTTTTATTCTAAATTCTTGAAGTGTGATGAAAGTGCTAGGGGAAAGGTGAACTAGTGATGTGTGATGGAGACAGGAAGAATTAAGTTCCCCTCTTACGAAAAAGTTCAAATTAATTTTACATTCAATGAACTGAAAAACGGTTCCTCCTTCTTCATGGTTGCACTCCTGGGTCTGTTACCTGGACCAGGAAGAGCTACTAAGACAAACAAACTGGAAGTTTGAGTTATAAAAATGCTCCCTAACATTTGTTAATCCACTGGGCAAACATTTCTTGAGCACTTACTATTTGATTTCACTCGTTTCATCAGTTCTGACAATAATCCTGGAAAGTACAAATTCGTATTATTCTAATAATATTATATATGAGGATCTGTAAAGTTAAATAGCTTGTCTAACATCATGGGCCAGTAGTGAAGACAAGATAGGAACTTGTTTTCTGACCCTCAACTAGTGGAGTCTTCTAAAAATTTCTACACCATCAGATGATGTGGATTCAAGTCCTATCTCTACCTCTTTCTGGCTATTGGACTTTGGTGAATCACTTAGCTTTCTAATACCTTCATCTAGAAAATGGTGAAATAGGAGTATCTCACTAAACTACTGTGAGAATTAAATGCTATAACATATATGAAAATGCTTTAGAAATTATTAAAGTATTTTTGCATATTACTATTTCATGCCATGCCCTGAGTGATATTAAAGAAAATGTTTTATATTACATATTGATTATTTTTAGTCATAGTTTTCTAGCAACTGAACCGTTATCTGGTTGTATGTTAGAAATTTTAGAAGGATATTTTTGTAGTCTACTGAAAATTAGGTGGCATCAGAGAAATCTAACAGATTCTGGCTACAGATCTAACTTTCTCAATTACTGAAAAGTAAGTTAATTATTGGCAAAATCCTACTCATTTAAAATTTTCATTTTGACCATGTAGTACATGAATATAGTTCAAATTCAAAAGATACCAAAGGGTAGTTAGTGGAAAGTCTCCTTATCTTGTCTTCTAGCTTCTCAGATCCCCTCCCCGGAGTCAATGGATGCTATATTAGTTTTTTGTGTATTCTTCCAAAGGCATAAGGCATATTTATTCTATCCTGCAACTTTTTACATAAATGGTAGCATCTTATACACATTTCTTCACCTTGCTCTTTTCCACTTAACAGCATTTTAATAAATAAAGACTTGATTGTTTTTTAACAACTGCATAGTATTCCATGGTATAGATTAAATTAAATGTGATCCATCTTATTAAAGAACATTTAGACTATTTTCAAAGCTGCAAGGAATAATCTATAGTCAATATTTTATAGGTATGTCAATATACCTACACTAATAAAAGAGAAACATGCAAATTGGTCATCACTCTGCTACGCCCACCAGCCAATCAGGGCAAGTATGCAAATTAACCCAACAAAGATGGTGGCGGCCATGGAGCTGGAGCAAGCAGGAGGCTTGGGTTGCCCCCAGTGATGGAGGAAGCCAAGCTTCCCACCTGCCCTGGCCGCTGCTGAAGGAGTGGCTGGGGGCCTGGGTCGCCGGGGGGCGTGGCCAGCCTGAAAACAGCCCTCAGCCCCTTACCCTGGCTGGCCAGGCACCCCAGCGGGACCCCCCCACCCTGAAGGGGGTATGGCCGACCTGCAAACCACCACAGGCCCCTCGCCCAGGCCATCCCACACCCCAAGGCAACCCCCACCCTGATCCAGGACACCCTTCAGGGCAAACCAGCCAGCCCCCACCTGTGCACCAGGCCTCTATACTAATAAAAGGGTAATATGCTAATTAGACTGGGAGACCTTCCAGGAGACCTTCTGGACATTCTTCTGGACAAAGCCATGGTGGTGGGGCCAAGGTAGAGGCAGAGGCCAAGAGGGGAGGGCAGTTGTGGGTGATCAGGCCAGGATGGGACAGCAGTTGTGGGTGATCAGGCTGGTGGGGGAGGGGCTGTTGAGGGTGATCAGGCTGACGGGAGGGGGGGCAGTTGGGGGTGAG